TATTATATTTATATATAAAATATATATATATGTACGGCTTATTAGATATTTAAAGAAAATTAAAACTGGCTTCATTTAGAAGTTGTTTCAGGTATTTTTTAAATTTATTTCATTAGCTCCGATTAAAGACATATAACACCGGACATGACCAGACAAAGAACAGGCATTTGATTACTTGGGAAAACGTTAACACACACTAAATTGTTAAACAATAAATCTAAGGAACAGGATGATAATAGGAAACTATCTACTGTACCTGCTTAAGATATTTTCATCAGAACTATACTGCTTTTAAAAATGCAAAATTTGATTAATATTAATTTTATACCACTCATTCTTCATTCTTGAATTCATGAATGTCAAAGCATTATATACATTTTACTTATGTACAGTTACAAAATTTCAGAATTATTGAACACATACTTAAAGAGTGTATTTTAGGAAATTATAATCAGTTTCTTTTATTAGGACCTTTATATTACATAATTAATTTATTTCTCACTGCTTTCCATGCATACCTTTTAAAATAAAATCTAGATTCAGACAATTTAATTTAAACCAGAGACAGACATCTGAAAATGGATCACTAAGAAAAATAATAATTAAGCTTTAAAGGAGTATAGATGCAAAACCTAGTATCGAAGACATGTTTAAGACAGTCTATATTGTAGAATATATTTAAGTCTTAAGAAAACAACATGTTCTAGTATGCATATAGAGTTTTATTCCTTCCTCTGGTTAAAATCAGAAATATTGTATCCCTGCATATTTCAGATATATAGAATGAACATTTCTGTTTTCAATGAGTTATCAACACTCTAGCGCCACCTTTCGGTGATTTCTTTGCTTACTGCTGTCACTAAACGCATGAGACCACAAATAAGACATCAATGACTTTTCACAAAGTTGTAAAATATATTTTCACTTTGCGTTGATAGGTCTCGAGTCATGCTGTCTGACATATTTCCAAAGACTAAAGCTGAAATTACAGAAAGTTGACATTTGCCAATCTCAGCATAACACTGCTTCGTAGAATTTCATTAGATTTTTATACGGAATCTACTTTATGTAATCTTCATGTATAATGTGACTATACATTATATATATACACTGTATGTTACATGTTATATATATATATTATGTAATATAGACTATACATTATTATAAGTTACTGGAAATAAATAAGTTTCTCATGATCACTTGTCAATTCACGGCTCTGTCTTTCAGCACAACTATTTTCATAAAACTGAGATGATTATGTAATTCAGGTGACTGATAAAAAAACAGTTTTAATAAAGAAAACGTTTTATTGCACAACAGACACTCCTGTAAAAAAATACCTCCTGTATTCAATCCCAAATTAACTTTCTCTTAATTTCCAACTCCTTTGTCAATGAAGGCATTTTATTTTTTTTAAATAAAATTCTCTACGCTTTTAAAGATTTCCTTACCTTTCTTAACACCCTTTTGGTCTAGAACTAAACTGTAACTCCCCTCGCCTCTCAACGGATATATGTTCAGTATATCTGCTTTTCCTTTGTCATGCTCTACAGTCTGATTATCGAAAAAACGAATTTTACTTTGACATCTGCTTGTTGGACAGTGAGTATCGAGTGTTAAGAATGTGCTAAAAGCTGCCACGCTAACTGCTGAGCTGTAGGGGACAGTGACAAGGCCAGTCACTTCACCAAACGTGCAGAAACGCATTTCCGAACTCTGACGGTTTGTGCGAAGTGCGGACCTAATTAATAATGGATTTAGGAATTATTAAAAAGGAAGTGTTTTTGAAGATGGAAGAGTTTGATTAGATGGGGGGAACTGATCATATTTACTTTAATTAAAACCTTAGGTTTGTCATGAACAGCACAGTGCTCCTCAAAGCAATGTGGAATTTTCCAAATACAGCCGGACACCTCTAATGTGACTATTATTCTAGCCCTAATCTCTATTTAGGACCACATGGCCTAAAGGCCGTCCTTAAACAAGAGAGTTTTAGCACTAAGTCGAACTTATTATCAACTTAATTGGACCAGTTTCACTTGTTTTTCTCGATGAAAAGAGCAGTAGAACCCACTGAACAATGGCACCGCGGTCAGCATGTGAGTGTTTCGGCCGAATGTATTCATATGAAAGCAGTGAAGATGGGCGTTAGTCCTCGGTCTAAATGGCAGCAGAAAGTGCAGGCGATTCAAGTTCATAATGACCTGATACCTCTGCAGAGACTACACCTACCCAACCTGCCAATGAATGTGCTGATCTAGTTTCGGTCTTATCTGTCACCTTCGGCTTCGCAAAACCCGTTTACTATTTACCGTTTTGAATTGTTTATGGAGTATTCCAATAAAACTATCAAAACTGTTGTTACTATTTTTGAATTGATGCTGTCGAAAATCATACAGAACGTAGGAACTCGGAGGTGGCAGCACTGACAACCACCCTAGTCCCTCAATGGGTGCACGTTGGTTAATTTTTGTACCCTTCGCATGTAAATACATTTTGATTAAGTTTATCATGTGATAAATTATCATATTACATAAAATCAACTTGCAATAATATTCGAGCTAAAGTAAGTATAATAATATTAGCAGAACATTTAAAGACTTTTTAAATCCTTGTAGGATCAACCAATTGAAACTTTCTTAAATAGGAATACAGATTGATGTGAATTGGTTAAGTACAATTTTAGGTGGGTAGCTGCGTCAGCATGCGTAGGCTGCAAAGGAACAAGTTATAGGTTTATTCCATGCTGAAAAAAAGAAGAAAGAGAACACAACGTTTCGGCCGTGGAGCCTTCTTCAGGTGCTCACACCTGAAGAAGGCTCCAAGGCCGAAACAAAGTACAATTTTAGTTCCCTAACAAAGTTTAATGCAAGCCTTAAGCTTCTTCCTAACTATAGCCACAGATATTCAATATTTTATTGTAATTAATGATGGAATTCAGTTAATCCCTTCTCCAAACTATCTTGTCTAAGTAGTTAATATAGGCACCTATAAGGAAAAATATAGTATAAATAGATGAGAGTTTGAGATACCAACAGTGTCACCTAGTGTCAGGTTTATGTCTAAACCAGTAAATAAAAAGGATCCTTATCCAGCAGGCATCATTATTCAATGATCACTGTTTGACATGTATACCAGATTAAACATAGGATCTTATAAAAAGCTAATTAAACTTCAATATCTTTCCAAATACTAGCATACAGGTATGTATGGCATACTAGTCTACAATACTAGCTTGCAGCACCAAGTCAAATATCTAAGAAATGTCTTATTTTTGTACAGAATTCAGAGGACTGTGCACCGCATGTGGAACAGCTTTGCAATTGTGGTTGTACAGCACAAAATTAACATAGTCCTTTGAAAATGCCACAAAAACATACTGTATCATTTTTAGACACGGAAACCTTTACATTCCATAAATGATCAAAAAGAACCTAAAAGGCTGGATTCCAGGAATAATCACATGAAAAAAAAAAAGACAAAATAAAGATTTTAATTTGTAAAGTCTCACAGGTACTTCAAGTAAGGTTTGTTCAACTAGACTGAATTGCTTGTATTATTAGACAATTCAAAGGTGAAGTCTGAGGACAGATGCCTGATGATATCTTGAAACGTCACTCTGAACAGCTCTGATTAGTTATCATGGCAGATCCACTTGGTGGAGTATTTTCACAATTAACTTGCAAAGGTTCATTAACAGAGAAATCTTCTACCATCTAAGCAAATTTTCCAGTGCGACCCCCCCATGGAAGGCATACAAACAAATGACACCCAGCAGTGTCTTACATACAGTATATTACTTCATAATTCAATGGCCAACTGTTCAAGAATATATTGCATACCCATGCTACCATTTGCAACGTGATGCATGAACCTGGCTAACAATGCAAATGTATTTGTTAATTTATTTTATTGCACATGCTCACAGTTATGTGTGTTTCTGTGAATGGAAGCATCTCAAAAATAAGTCTAACACAGTACTGCATGTGCTTTTGCATACATTTTGTATTTGTTTTGAATTTGGAAAGAATTACTCTTAAACTGTATTGAATGAAACTTAAAGTCAAAGAGAAGCAAGTCAAAGGAATATGCTTTCATTAGACTCACTTTAGTCAATGTATAAAATGGAAGGATACTACTTATGGTTTAATACGTTAGTTTAGTTTTTCACCACTGACGTTATTTTCAGAATTCCCCATCCTGGGCACTGTGTCCTGTGAGAAGTTGGAGTTCATCAGAAACAACTCTGATGTTTAAATCACCTTTTAGTTTTTAATATACACAAGCTAAGAAAAAAAAAACTTCAATATTTAAAAAAAGTTTGAAGTTTTTGAAAGTAAGCAATGTAATTACATGTAAACAACATGTACATTTTTGTCTTGCGTATTTCAAAACTTAAAGTGTAAAAGAACTGACACAGCATCATAAAATATAACATTTTGCCCTGTCCTCTGTATACATTTGTCAAAGCAGGTGTGCCACTTGTTTGTAAAAAGTAATATTGAGACTGATACTATACTACAATGCATGATACCTGCAAGAGAATAGAACAGTTTGCCCCCTCATTAGTTAAAAAGCACGCCTGTTAAAAAAACTGCACCCACATGCCTTTTTGTATTACAATTGTAAATTAGGCCAAAGGTAGTTTGACTCGTATAACAAGAATAGCTACATACTGCAATACAGTATGTGTTCATCACGTGACAAAGCGACATGACGGCCGCTGTCAAAGCAGACAGCGCCACTGGATGTAGAATTATGGGAGTTGAAGTCCTTTAACAGAAACTTGATATATTTCTTTTAGGCGTTTACTGGGATCGTTACTTCATTTAGAACATTTGGATGCATGTCATTTTTAGATATACATTTCTGTTAGGCTGTAGAAATGAACAGGGGGTGATCACGCTGTCTTTTATTTGTTGAGCCCCCCAGAGAAACGAGCTGTCCAATTAGAACTTCAATTCCCATGCTTCCTCCCCCCTGGCTGATCTCATTGGCTCGTGGTATTACACAACAGCTGCCGAAACCGACTTCCTCAGAATTTAAGTTCTGTGTCAACCGCATCGATTTTATTACACGGGTTTGGCACCGTAGGAGAGATGAGCGCAGATATGAAGCCAGTTTTCATTGTCGTCTTTTTATTTACAGTGCTGACTGCTTACTACATTTACACCCCATTGCCAAGCACGATTTCAGAGCCATGGAAACTCATGCTGCTAGATGCAGTTTTTCGGGGCTTTCAGCATTTGGTAAGGCTGCACAATGCGTACTGTACAGATTTCTGAATGATCGAAGCGCTTGTTATCTTTTCAGATTGGACCGTTCATTATTTTATTGCTGTTGCTCAATACGTCTTTCCAGCTTCATATGACTCGATTGATAATATTTCAGTGTCATTTTATAATTTATTGTGGACTTGAGTATGCATACCTAGTAGGCATTAGCTTTCTTTCGATTACATTTACAGCTTATATATTTACTGTTAAATCACCTGTCACGTAAAATGTTGAAGCTAGTGCATTCACTAAATATTTAAACATTCTTAAACCTCACTGAATTGTAACAGGTAGCGTCTCTAGGTGATGGGTAGCTTGTTGTTTGATATCAGTAGATGCGACGTCAGATGAGAGGTTTGAGCGCATACTGATAGCCAAGTGATGTAATATACAGTATGTGCAAAGATTTAAGCTGCGTGTTGAAATTTTTTCCATTGTCATCGTTTTCTAGTATTTTGCAATGCACTAAACGCCTTGAAAGAATGTAATGCAAAACGTGATATTGATAATTCAGTACTTTGCTTCTTAATAATCACCACCTACCCTTCCCACATAAAAAAACAACACTTTCTTGCTTAATAAGTGTTGCATGTTTTTTTTTTTACATAAGACAAAAAAAACTTCACTAGAAAATGTGGCATTATGCGAATAGAAAATTTCGACGGAGAACAATTATAGTTAATAAGGCAGTAAACAGTTTAATTCAATGCAGTTACATGGAACTAGGTACTGTACTGGACAGATTGTGTGTGTCAATGAATGCACTTCTTATTCCTTTTCGCTTAATTTTATCCTTTACTTCTTCTTTATCAGCACCAGTCTGCTGTTAGATAGTGTCAGATGACCTTTCACCCACTTCTTTATAACCTCTGCCTTCTTGTAGTCTGTTACAGTATACTGTATTCTAACTTTACAGACACAGTCTGTAGACCAGCCACAGACCTTATTTTGCCTTGAGAATCACTATACTTACAAATAAAGTAAGGTCTGTCCTACAGCATGCTAAACCTGATCTACAGGACACATTTTGAATTTAATTGCTTTAGCATTTGGTATAGATTGTAGATTTGTGATTACATTTCATTATTTCCTGACCGAAAGATGTAAAGAGAACTTGTGATGCCCATAATTAAAAAAAAATACTTATCCTTTTTTATGGCACTAAAAACTCTATAATCTGAGCAAAAACCTTAAAGAAAAGGGTACCTACAGACTTGACTTATTATTGTACAGTTATTGCAATGTAATTTGCTTCAGTATATCAATACATTAATCTTTCTCAGTCTTCTTTTAAATATATCCATTAGTCAAAATATTAGGAAGCCCCATCCAATACAACAAATTCATCCCATTTTGTTCTTGGACTGTATTTATATTCGGATATGATGAGAACAATGGTATATGGGTTTAGCCTGCACAATTTAGCAGTTTTCAGCAGGGCTAAAACTGGGGATTATTATGGCCATAGGAAGTCTATTGATTTCACTGCTTTGAACATTGTTTTTCTAGTTGTTAGATTAGTGTGTGTAGATATAAATCAGGCCTCTGCAAGCCTCATGCAGGAAAAACCCATAGTGTCTTCTGGGTTTTTATTCCTTCTGAGCTTGAAATGATTTAATTGGATCATGTCTCCATAGTAAAAAGGGTTACACAAATATACTGCTCAGACAGTTGTTTTAACATATGATTTAAATGCTACAGAAATTGATATTTTTCACAATGGTGTCGGTGAACTTTGCCTGAGTTGGCATTGTTTATGGAATACTGTGAGACTGGACATTGTGTGCTTTTTCTCAGCCCTTCTGCATGATTTAATGCTTCTACTGCTGCATGTTGAAATTGTTGAAAATACTTGTCCAGTATTGAAAAGCTACTGAGGATTATCTTTCCATCCATTTATTACTATATATCTCACAATTCACAATAAGACCATACTGTAGTTACAGTTGTGTTTGTATGGGAGTTACATGCAGCATCTCTTGCTTTTGCAAAACAACTACAAAAGGTAATTTTTGTGTGAATATACCAGTAAAAAAACAATTTTCCTGAACCTGATCAGCATAATCCTCCTTTCTTTCAGTAAAAAAAAAATCACATTTGGTTTTCTCATAATTAACTAGATTAGAAATCCTTACTATTCAAAGCAAAACGTGTTTCAAAGATAAGTTTTGCTTTTCCTGTTCACAAATAAAATCTCATTAAAAAGGGATTAATTTCAAGGTACCAAATCCCATTCAGTGCCTAGCATGCCTTTATAAGATGGTTCTTGAGCGGATCTGGTAGATTGATTTTAAAAGAAGATACAAGAAAGAGAGCAATGCATGTACCATTTTAAATTGCAAAGCAGTGCCTAATCATTTGCTTAGCTTCTTCTGTAATTGGTATGCATGTTTGTTAATGGATTTTGGGAAGAAACCCAATAAACCTAGAATTCCAACAGCCTCATGCCAAAAAGGGGTTAAACTGCGCAGTGGTTCGAATTGGCTGATAGATTTAGCTAAATACAGCATGTGACCTGGCATGGAGACCAGTTGGTCCCAATGACGCTTTCTGTGAATCCACATTAATTAGTTAGAGATTAAACCTGTGTAAAGCTATATAAATTATAACAGTTTATGAGATTCAACGAAGATTAAAATGAATTAGCTTTGGACTGTTGGTTTTTTTAAATACAAAATACCTTGTTAAATAAATAATCTGGGAGATGTTAAACTGGAGATTTCATTCTGGGGTCAGGGAAGGCCTGATTATGATGTACGTGTTCAACTCCCAGGGTGAAATTCCTGAATGTATCTGTGACATGGGCTACACATTATGACTGTTTGAACATTGACTTGTATTACTATCAAAGACCTGTATCAGTAGGTACCTTTTCACACTGTTTTTTTTTTGCAAGGTCTTTGCAGTAAATAATAGTAGCAGAGGTGCAAGCTACTCAGTTTGACACAAACTATCTGACAAACACTGTGTATACAAATAAAAAAGTAAAATAACTTGTGTGGCACCTCCAGTAATTGTAAAAATGCTGATAATAACTGAATGCTTCTAATCAGGGTTTCTAATTAGCAGCGTCCATGGCATTTTCCCATAACACACATTCGTCTGTGAGGTGTTTATATTTTTGGGTGTCATCCTTTCATTGCTGTGCTTAATCATGGAGGGCGGGATGTCTTCACCCCCATCCTGCACATGGGATACTAGGGCTAAGGACCTAAGCTATCCATCACCAGTTTTGTGAGGTGTGTGTAAATGCTGGTCCTGTTCTTTCTCTTCCCAGGGAAACTTGTTTCACAACTTGGGTCTGAGCCACTACATCAGGGTGCTCAACTTTTACGTGACGAAGTTTGAGATGCTGGGCCCCGTGTCCAGCGAAGGGGTTAAAGTGAGTGACGCTACGTTCGACGGGGTCCTGGTCAGAGTTTTCGAGTCTACCGAGGAGCAGGGCCGCGCCCTGAAGCGAAGTGTGATTTACATCCATGGAGGGGGATGGGCCCTGGCCAGTGCCAGTAAGTGTGCAGATGCAACTCTCACATTCACGCCGTCGACATTGCACTGCAACCACTTTTTCACAATATACAATATGAAATTGTAGATCCGAAACACTAGACGAACAGTGGCGTTTTGGACTTCCAAGTTGCTTAGTCAAGTAGACAAGACGCTCGGAAGTGGCTGTTTCAAATCTGGGCTGTCACTGGGATCCCTCAAGCAATACCATACAGTTGGCATAGTGCTGCCGGGTCTCGTCTAGGACAACCCAATGTATTTGATAAAAACAACAGGTTTTCCAAAGTACAGCTTATATAAACTTAAAATCAAAAGGTTCAACATATTGTGTCGAAAATCATATATTTAGATAAACAAAAACATGGCTTCTAAATTACCACAATGTAAAGCTGTAAGACAGAAAAACTCCCAATTGTTACTCAGGTGATTTTTAAGCTCTGAAACACATCCTCTAAGAAAAAAGATTCTAATTACTCATTATCTTCATTAACAGAGATAAGATCCTATGACCATCTGTGTAGGAAAATGGCAAAAGACTTGAATGCAGTCATTGTTTCAATTGAGTAAGTATAAAATCACCTTTATATGTGTTTCCTTGTTTGCATGGTGGTGTGTGGTTTGCATAGCTGCCTTGCAGCGCTGTTGCCCTAGGTTCAATTCTGGGCCTGGGATACCTGGGATACATGTGTGTAATTTGTATGTTGTTCCAGCATTCCCTCTGGGTGCTCCTGTTTCCTCCCACAGTCCAAAGACATACTGGTGGGTTGCTTGGCTTCTGAGAATATTGACCCTGGTGTGAGTGTGTGCCCTGTGATGGACTGGCATCCTATCCAGGGTGGATCCTGCCTTGTGTCCATTGCTTGCTTGGCTAGACTCCAGTTCCCCTGCAACCCTGGATTGGTTAAAATGGTTAGAAAATGTATGGATTTTATTTAGGTTAAGAGTGTTTTTTAATATATTTTTATGTGTTTCTTCAGCTACCGTTTGGTCCCAGATGTGTATTTCCCTGAGCAGTATAACGACGCATACCGTGCCACCAGGTATTTCCTGCGTCCAGAGGTGCTGGCGAAGTACTCTGTGGACCCAGGCAGGTTAGCAGTGTCTGGAGACAGCGCTGGGGGGAACTTAGCTGCAGCTGTGTCTCAACAGGTGAGTCATGGAAACGTATTGTTCTTGGATTTTATTTCAGCATGGTAAAGAAAATAAAAAAACATTAGTCTGTTTTATCAGTGTGTGAGTTCATCAGGACTTGCCAAATTAGTACGGCTTCATTCTGTGTGTTTTTGTCTAACGATTCATGATCCTGTTCAAACACAAACTGCATTTTCTGGGATTTACTCATCCCCTATGGCTGAACAGGTTTTTTTTTTCTTTTTGCTGTGAGTTCTGCTGAATAAAAAAAGCAGACAAGGCTTTTACATTGTAAGAATGATTCATTTCTGCTTTCCGGCATTAGGCTGAAGTCATCATACTATTGCATCTGGGTTCCTTGCTATTGTAAGGAATACTGTTAATTGTGTTGTTGTTTAAATTAAATGTGCACTGTAATTTACAAATAGTTTTCACCTTTTTTTTTTCAGCTTGCTCTGGATGGCAGCATCGCTAATAAGTTGAAGCTCCAGGCTCTTATTTACCCGGTGCTGCAGGCTCTGGATTTTAACACTCCCTCCTACCAGCAGAACAGGAACGTGCCCATCCTCTCCCGCCCGCTCATGGCCCGCTTCTGGCTGGAGTACCTGAAGGGGGACCCCAGCTTTCTCCAGCCCCTGCTCGTCAACAACCACACGGCGCTGGACCTCGGCCACGCCTCCAGGAGCCGTGCAAAGCTCAACTGGACTTCCCTCCTCCCGTCAGCTTTCAAGAAGAATTACAAGCCGGTTGTCCAGGCTGTGGGAACACCGAAGGTCATTCAGGAAGTTCCAGCTCTCCTGGATGTGAGAGCCGCGCCACTTCTGGCTGAGCAGGAAGTCCTGAGGCTGCTCCCACCAGCGTACATCCTGACCTGCGAGCATGATGTTTTGAGGGACGACGGCATCATGTACGCCAGGCGCCTGGAGGAGGCTGGGATCCCTGTAACCCTTGACCACTATGAAGATGGATTTCATGGCTGCATGATTTTCGCGATCTGGCCCACCTATTTTTCAGTCGGCATTCGGACCATGAACAGCTACATCAGTTGGTTGGATAAAAATCTTTAGGTCCTCTGATCCATGGTTTTGTTTATGTGGGTTATGCTTTTAAAAAATCATTTAACTACTTATATGATAAAAAGCCCAGAAAAATGCACTTTCACATATTCCAATGCAATGCAACATGCCAATGCAAGTTTTATCTAGTTCTGTCTTCCTAAGTCTTTGTATAACCGTTACAGTCAATATTGCTTCAAGTACTTGAAGTCACTGTGTGCCAATTACAGTGCTGCTTTATATGTACAGTGAGTGCATAGCATGGAGTTTAAGTATTCCATTTTAGTGCAGTACGATAACATTTATAAAGTATTTTAATAACAGGCCAGGCAAAGTTCATTTGGGTTCTGGAACAATTTAAAATTGTTTCATTTTCACCTTATCAGTGATAAAATATTTAAATTAAATATTACTCTTTTGATAATAATAATACTGTATGGGACTTTGTGCTCTAGCAAAGCACATAACATCAGAACATAAGAAATAACTGGAATAACAATGGATGTATAAGATACTTTTTCAATTATTTTGAAATCATGATGGTGGATCATCATATGTTTTTCAAAATCCTTCATTATCTGAAGGATCAATGAAGGGTATTATTTCAAGTTAGCGAGAGCAAAAAGAAATTGAAATAATCTCTTAAAAAGACCAAAACACTGTTTGAAGAGAGGCAACTCCACTGTTAAGGAATGCAAAGCATTTTGGAACTGATTTTAGTTTTTTTTGTCTCTTGCAGTGGAACGTTTCTTAGAAATATCAAAACATATGTATTATTACTTAGTAACTGCAAAATACCACCTGTACCTGTAGATTTTGTTAAATATTTCAAATTATCGACCATTTCCCCTCTGAATAAGATGTTTTCTCAGATTTTTAAGGGAACAGAGCAGACACTGGAAATGCCAATGCCTGCTTTTTTATTTTATAAAGTTAACATTCTGTTTACATCATCTTTTAAATTAGTTAAGTTAAACAAAATGTTCTTTTTGTAATTATACAGGCATCAATCAGGTGTAGGGTGTGCAGGTTTAAAAACATTGCTCAATTTATTGTTATATTTATTGTACAGAAGATTATTCAATTCTGTGGTCAGGTCTTTCAATTTTGAACCATCGCCTGTATAAACTGAAACAGGAGAATTTGTCTTTAAGGGTCAAAGTTGCAATGGATGAGGATCTTGGAATGCCAATGTGAGAATATTACTGTTGTTTGGGACCTTTGAAGAGGTTTTTGTACTTTTATGCACATATTTATAACTTGCAGTGTGTGAGTAATGGGGCAGTGCTGTTGAAAACGGAGAAATGTTCAAAACATTGTATTGTGCAATAGGGAGATGATAATAATATATAAGGTCCTGACATCAGCTATTGTAAATTAGACCATTATAAACTTTCAACAAACTTAATAAAGATCCCTTTTGTGTTTCTTTTATTTTATGTGTAGTGATCGGGCAGCAATGGTTGAAGCAGATACTTTAGGTGGTAACTAATTGTGAACAAACATTTATTAAATAAAACTGCAAACGCGAAATGTAAAGAGTGCTATGATACAAAATACGAACAAAATATATTTACGGACAGGTAGGAGAAACAGATCTCCAAAACAAGAACACATTTAACCGTTCTTAATTCTAAGATTGTCTCTAGAATTAAGCATGGCTGTTGTAGCGCATGAGAGTGACAGGGAATCGAGGGAAACCTGCAGCAAGTTGACTCACCTGACTTGGACAGTGAGCCAGAGCATAGTTATCATTCAGGTCCGGCTGGCTGATGCAGCTTGGCCCCTGGAGGAGCTGCTGTGTCCTGCTGCCACTGAAGTCCTAAACCGTCAGTGCTGAAGAGACATGCTGGGTGCAGCATAGTTGTTGACTCTACAGGTGGAGCTGGTCCTTTCAGTGCAGATCCAGACTGTGGTACAGTCTTTGCCTTCATATGTATTTCAGAAAATGTTATTTGTACAACAGGTACATATACCATTGAACTAACAGGCCCTGGTAACTGGTCTGTGCCCTCGCTGTTAGTGACAGAGGCAGGAAGCTGATGTAGTGAGCAACTTCAATGGCAATTTGCCTTTTTTTCCCCCGCAGTCCAGAGCTCACTTTCAACTATACTCAACATATCCTCCAGCAAATTTAACCTATCAGAACAAGAGCTTATCTCCTCCCTAACCGAAGCTTTACAGTCAATAATCCATTCCTCACTTTCCTGTTTTCATAGCTAGCTATTTCAGATACTTCTCAGAGACACTTTTCTCCATTTTCTAATCTGCTAAACTAGACAGTTCTTTGTGATTGCTGCCAATTTATTCATATCTTTGAACAATTTAGAGATATTGTTTTTTTTAATTGAAGTGCTTGAACCTGCAGGGCAGTTTTTTTTTATCATAAAATAAGAAATTTCCTCAGGCTCCTGCTCTTTTCCTACGACCTCCTTTATGTTCAAAGTATTGACTATTAATAACAACAGTTCACCACAGAATAATGGCAAAAGTGAGCAATCTTTTCCAAATACTCATAAAACTATGACCCACAGTTAAGACGGCAAATTCAACCTCTATACCAAATTGCAAACACAAAATTGTTACAGAAAGAAAAAGCAACAGCAATTCCAAATTGATATGGAAGAGGCATTTAAAAATATGGTATATACAGTACGTGGTCCTGACATAAAGTGTTTTAAAATAGCCAGTAATAAATGTAAAACACCAAAATAAACTCATTGGCCAGTAAATACCAAGTAAAAATACACAGTTTCTGTTGTTTACTGGATTTTTAAAGAACAGTATGTTGCCCAAACTCAACTGTCCCAGTAAAAAATAAAAGAAAATAAAAGCATTTCCACGTCAATTAAAAACAATACTCCCCTTTTCTAAATGTATTTTGTGTTACATCACTACCAAGGATTAGGTCCCTGATAAACTTAGTTTTATCAATAATGAATTTAGGTTGAATTTATGAAAAAAAGAAACCCTCTCACCTTTCCCTTTGCTGCCACCCTCCCATCTGTTTTTGTTCTCTCTTCATTCTACCTTTAACCTACTTAAACACTGTTCCAAAAAAATAGTCCTCACTTGTGATTGCTCAAAGATAATCTTTGGCTTGCCTAAACAGGAGAACATGAGCACCATGGTGTGACACTTCAACTTAAGAACCCTTTGGATACTTTTACATTTTAAAATGTGAAAAACCATTTCTTCCAAAAGAGACACATACTTTCAATTTATTTTTTGTCTTCTTATTAAAAGTTTGCTACATCGGGTACATTCTCTGTATTTACTCAGACATTAGTCTCAGAATATGTTGTACTTAGATTATAGATACTGTATCTAGATGTTATCTATTGTCTATTTGAACCTGTAATTGATTTGACCTACACATCTACATATTGTCTAACAGTATGAAGGCTAAAAAATAAATTTCTATTACATTATTGTTTTTTAAAGTTTGCGAGTTATGTTCAACTTGAACCTTATTTGGGAAAGTATTTTGTGATTTGGTCATGAAAGTCATTTACACTGTAAATGCCACACAAATGCTTTTGTCTGCTGAAATACAAATTAACAGCGAGTGCTCTGCAATTGCAACACTTCAACCGTTTTAAAACTCCCACTTGATACAACTCGTGATTTTTGGTTAAAACCGCTGACAACCATTAACAATAAGAAAACATTTTTTTTTCCGTCTTGTGATGCATCCAGTTTGAGGCAAGCTCCGGAAGAAATGAGCTTGGCTCTGTGTCGGCCTCTGTTGGGTGGAAGACAGAAATTGTAGATCGAATGAATCAGTCATACCGATAACTTCATGGTTAACTGCAAAGAACAGAGCAAACATTTCTCTTCAACGATATGAAGTGTTTATCTGCATCTGTGCACATGTGCCCGGAGTGACGGAGTGAAGAGACAAACACATTTAACATGCGTAGACTATGTGGATAACTTCATTATTGTTCAGGTGAAGACGCTGAAATGGCAGTAGACAGCACACATAACAACATGTAGGAATTACAAAACAAAACTACTTTAGTGGATCCCAGCAGGCAAGAAACGCGATTAATTCAAGAACTCAACAAATGCTATTGGTTCCACGTTTGTTATTTGGTACACGTTTGTTGCATTTTTAACACCTTGCAGTATAGATTAGTTAGGATAAAACTAGTTAAAAGACTACTATTTTCCTTTGACTGGAGGCAGAGGAGAAAATGAATTTGAGGGCCAGGATTCTATATCCAGTATGAGACTCACCTTGCATTACAGTATGTTCTACTGTATGCGTTTCATATTTCACATATTAAACATAGTTTATATTAAACGAAGTTTCATATCCTATTTGTTTCATATTACGGTTTTAAAAACGTGAAAATCTGTGATAAAAAATATCATCGCCCGTCTTTATTTCCATAATTATAAAATTGTTGATAGCAACAGAAGGACGGATTTTAGGTTACCCACCTTTAGCAGGTTAGAAATGCTTCATATTCCCGCACGTCTGGTCGACTCAGGCTGCATTATCCTTTTCAAACGCCAGGCGTCACTCTTGACATTGGCCAAAACAGCGTGCTTATCTTAATTTGTGCTACAGTAGGTGTCTTTAAAAATACCCATATTTTCACAGCGTGGAAATTCTACTAGCAAAGATGCATTTTACATTGTAAACCGGATTATTACTGTACTGTTGTAATTTGAAATTCCCATAAGGCAAGAAATGGGGAGGAATCAGTAACTGATCAGTGAGAATCACCTAATCAGTGAGAATCAGTACCAGTATCCATTGATAAGCAAGTTGAAGCAAATGTCTGTAAACAATAACATTATAAGATGGTATCACTCATTTTTAACAAACTGTGCACAGTATGTCATGGTCAATAAAACTCTTTTGGGAGTCACAAATTAATACAGGTGCCCCTCAGGGCTGTGTGAGCTCTCCAGTTCTGGACACACTGAGCAGTAGTCAAAGCAACTTCACTTTCAAATTCTCAGATGATACAGCTGGGCTTGGCTTAATGCATAGAGGAAGCAGTTCATCTGCGTACATGTCAGAAGTCCAAAGATTAGTGCAAAGGTGCGACAACAATAGCCTACTTTTGAATGTTAATAAAACAAAAGAAATCACGTTGATAGTGTTTGCTCCAAAGTTCAGCAGCACTTGTATTTCTTGAAGAGACTAAAAGTGTTTGGGGTTCGACAGGAAATAATGCTTCTCAAGAGCATCGGATATGTATTATCAGATATGGTATATA